GGGTCTGTTTATAACGCGAACTGGGGGGGGGGGGGCTATTTTTCGCCCCCCCCCCCGTATCTCCGAAACTACTTGACGGATCCGCAAAATTCAAACGGCGTTCGAAAGGCCTGTCAAATTTGTCGAGGGAAACCAAATTTCATTGACCTCGGGGTCACCGATGACGTCACAGGTCAGGTCAAAGATGACATGTTTCACCGTTCACGGGTCATCTAGGTAATGCGCTATAACACCGAGGAAAACGCATTTTGTCGAGAATCAGCGATAGGGCGTCAGTTGCCTAGTACATATGCTGCTATAAGAGGTTACTGACAATACCAGGTCAGGTCACAGGTCAGGTCACCAAGGGTCACAGGTCAGGTCACATGAACCTAACTTTAGGTACTAAGGTTGTGCGATGCAAGTTTTATGGCCAATTTTTCATTTCCAACTCAATGGTGTTGGTTATAAGACTATCAGGTACGGCTTAAGTAACTTTCTGGTGAAGGTCAGATCAAGGTCAGGTCAAGAAAGGTCAAATTTTAAAGTTGATAGTTTTGCATAAAATGGGTATTGGTTCGATGCAGCTCGTCACAGGGAATCTAATGGTGGTCTTTGTTTTGCGCTAAGGGGTCTAGAATTGCTAAAAAATTGAGTTTGAAAATTTGACGTCATCAATTTTGAACAGTTTTTCGCTCTAACTTCGCCAAAAAAGAGATATCAATCTCAAATTTGGTATGTGGATAGAAGGCGGCAAGGACTATCACATATGTTCGGTTTTTTGCGAAATTCCAATTTTTTGTGTGGATTTTTCGGCTATTATATTCAAAAAATCTATTTTTTGATTTTTGGGGGTCAAAATCCAAAAATTTTTAAAATCCGAGATAGCAGTTTTGTAGCCCTGTCAATTCTACAGCTTTTATGTTTTTTATCGTTTTTCTGTATTTGCAAAGCTATAGGCCTGACAGCTCATCCCGCGAAACCCTTTTTTGGGTCGAAAACGGCAGAACATGACGTCACTCTGACGTCATTTCCGGCCAATCTATCATAGCATTTGGAAAATTTTTGGTCACAATGTGTAAAATTGATGTCCGAGAGGGTACTGAAAGTTTGAAAGTCAGACGATCGGCGCAGCGGTTCTGGAGATATATCGAAAAGTCTGGAGGGGGGGGGGGCAAAAATAGCCCCCCCCCCACCAGGGCGCGGGTTAACCCACGAGCCGCTGGGGGGGGGGGCATAAAGTTGCCCCCCCTTTACGTTTTGTGAAATATCTCCGAAACCTGATGAGCTACGAACGTGAAACTTGGCATAGCTTCAAATGAATACCTAGGCAATGTTTGAGAAAAGTTTGGTGGTTGTAGCACCTAAGATGACGTCACAGTGACGTCATAAAATTTTGTCGTTTTCCGATATGGACCGTTTCTGATGACGCTGAGCATGAAACTCGACTGTAAATGAACTAGACAGCACCTGCTGTCATCCTAAAACATCTTACTACACTTCCATCTAGTTTCTGACCAATAATCAGCCATTTATATTCGGTCCCATATATGTGCTGTATCGTGAGGAATATGAGAGTCGCAAATCTATAATTTCACTTATGACGTCACTGTGACGTCATTTCAAATGGGATCAACACCAAATTTGGACACAACCTCGGCTAGGTATTCAAGAAGATGTGTGCAAAGTTTCGCTTCTCTATCTCTTCGCGTTGCGACGATATCGTCGCAGAAGTAAAGGGGGGCAACTTTATGCCCCCCCCCCCCAGCGGCCGGCGGGTGGCGCGGAGGCCCAGCGGCCGCCGGGTTAAAAGCTCACAAGGCCCATAGCCAACGCAAGATGTTGAAGAATTGGTCATTTGGGTCATGACATGACCTAAAATACAAGGTCATATATCCGAAACCAAAAACCACAGAAACTTGAAATTTTCAGTGGACATCAAAAAAGGATAGAGGAGCAGCTATACGAAAAATCAGGCTTCTAGCTCTAAAAATGTTGAGTGCCGAGCAGAGAGACTACCTGGGGGGGGGGGGGGGGTGACCACCCCCCCCCCATGTGCGTGAGAGGGATAATGGATAGGCCGCAAAGTTGACCTGACCTTAAGTCACCGATATCAAAATTCCGAGACATACATTTTATATATAATGTTGCTCTAATCAATCGCTCAAAGTTTCAAGGCAATCAATCAATCGGTGTAGCTACGACGAGCATTCTTATTGTTTCTGAGGTGAGGTCACTTGGCATGACCTGGTGACCTGACCTAAGGCGACCTGTGTCTGAAATTTTCACAACATGTGTGGAAAAGATGCACGAACATGTGTGCCAAAAACCGCAGAGGGGTGTTCATAAAACCCCGACCCGGCGCGGGTTAACCTTCCAGGCGGTGGGGGGGGGGGCATTTTTTGCCCCCCCCCCTTTAGTTTTTTCGATATATCTCGAGAACCGCTGCGCCGATCGTCACCAAACTTTCAATACCCTCCCGGGAGCAGCTAGCGCACATGGTGACCAAAAATTTTTCCAAAGGCTATGATAGGTTGGCCGCTAATGACGTCAGAGTGACGTCATTTTTGCCATTTTCGACCCAAAAAAAGGTTTCGCGGGAAGAGCTGTCAGGCCTACAGCTTTAGAGATACAGAAAAATGTCTGAGACATAAAAGGTGTGAAATTAAGAGTGCTACAAAACTGCTATTTCGGTTTTTCGAATTTTTTGGATTTTGACCCCCAAAAATCAAAAAATAGATTTTTTAAATATAATAGCCAAAAAAACCAAAAAGTTTTTTGAATTTCGCAAAAACCGGAATATATGTGATAGCCCCTACCACCTTCTATCTACATACCAAATTTGAGATCGATACCTCTTTTTTTGGCCAAGTTATAGCGAAAAAACTGTTCAAAATTGATGACGTCAAATTTTCAAACTCAATTCTTAGCAATTCTAGACCTCGTAGCGCAAAACAAAGACCACCATTAGACTCCCCGTGACGAGCTGCATCGAATCGATACCCATTTTATGCAAAAATATCAACGTTGAAATTTGACCTTTTTTGACCTGACCTTGACCTGACCTCCACCAGAAAGTGACCTAAACCGTACCTGATGGTCTTATAACCAACACCATTGAGTTGGAAATGAAAAACTGGCCATAAAACATGCATCGCATAGCCTTAGTAAAGCTGGGCTCATTTGGTGACCCTTGGTGACCTTTGGTGACCTGACCTGTGACCTGACCTGGTATGACCAGTGACCTCTAATAGCAACATATGTACTAGACAACTGACGCCTTATCGCTGATTTTCGACAAAATGCGTTTTACTCGGTGTTATAGCGCTTTCCCTAGAAGCCCGTGAACGGTGAAACATTTTATCTTTGACCTGACCTGTGACGTCATCGGTGACCCCGAGGTCAATGAAATTTGGTTTCCTTCAACAAATTTGACAGGGCTATCGAACGCCGTTTGAATTTTCCGGATCCGTCCAGTAGTTTCGGAGATACGGGGGGGGGGGGGGCAAAAAAGTGCCCCCCCCCCCCACCGCGCGGAAGGTGGCTGGTAGGCCCACCGCCTGCCGGGTTAATATCTGGTTCATTCTGCATCGATCGGCAGTAATTATTTCAAAATTAGTTAAAAAAGCATGGTCGTGGTGAGCAGTTTAAAAATGTTGTATCATTTGCAGTTTTCACCCCCCCCCTCCCCTAACACCCCTTAATTGTTTTTTACCTTTCTTTTTTTCAAAATTTAGATCACGCGAGCATAATCGCATACCGCTTGAATTTTGAAAAATCGGCCGGATAGATCTTGAGATATCAATGGGGTCCTAAACAGCCCCTTGCCACTAGAGGTAGCCAGGAGCCTGCCACTAATAGGGTAAGTTGAAACCAGCTCCTAAAAATAAAAACTACGCTGAGACTTTATGAAACGACAAACAGGTTTATCTAAGGAAATGACCTTGACCTGATCTTCATGTGACCTGGAGACCAGCCTATAAAAAACTAGGTAGTTTATCACAAATATATGTGGAAATGACATTTGACAAGACAATAGTCATTTTCAAAACGTTCATCTGGCATAAGTTTTGACACATTTGGTGCGATCTGGTTAAAATAGGTTCATAGGTGATTCTTAGCATGTTTCATCTTGGGATGCACTAGTTGCTCAGTGAGTGAGGATGAGTGAGCGGCGCCATAGGAGATCCGCAAGTGGGCCGGGGCAGCGCAGGGGACGGGCCCCGTCACTGAGCCGACCATCGGATGCGCCCATTGTAAGAGCGTATCGGGCAGCGGAGCAAATCTCAGACCCACCTCAAAGGTAACCCCATCGATCAGCTTGCCACTAGAGGTGGCAAAACTGGAAAATTTTGGGAACCGGACCCGGACCCGGTCTGACTGACCCATTTGTGGAACCGGTCAGACCCGGTCTATGTCAGAGTTGGAACCAGATGGACCCGTTCCAAAAAAATCAAAATTTAATAAACAAAATTTGAGGGCAGTGGCACGGCAGGTATAAAATGCTTTCTTCCCAATTGCACAGGCATGAGTTGCGATTTGCAAAGCAGAAACATCATGACAAGGTCAGTGGTCACTCACCCTACTTCACTGTTCACATTCAAATTTGCATTTGGAATCAGAATCAGATTCAGGTCAGATTTTAGAATATCAATGTAGGTAGGTTGAAAGTAGGTAGGTACTAGGAACCAGGAAGTAGAAAATAATAACACATTGATGGAAGTGTTTGATAATTGCTAACTTGCCTGCCTTTATTTTACCTGGCCTAACTAAATAGGCTTGCTAGCGGGTTTCAGCCCTGACTCCAGAGTCAGAGTATCATGCTTCAACGTCAGTTTAAAATTAACATGTCACAGGTTTTGTCAATTGCTGAAAACAAAACTAGCATACTACGCAACATATGAATGTCTAGGAAGTAGGAACCATGAAATTTCATGCAAAGCCCCCTTCTACAGCTGCCGACAATACCAGAGTCAAAACGGAGCAAGGTTAGCAGCACAGAACAAGCCCAATATACATACCTGGATTAAAATATTCTTGGGAAAAGATACTCCGCTTCGACGTATGACAAAATTAGTCATTACAAAAAAATTGTTACTATGAGCCCCAGTCCCTACTCCTAGCCATAAAAGTTTAAAAAAGAAACATTTCGCGAGGTACTTTCCAGAATCCGCGACACGTGTACGAATTCAAGGATTTTAAATTGCTGCTTTGCGAGGAATGTCAGATCGGCGCTAAAGTACTGCAAAACAGTGATCATCGCCAAAGTGTTAGTGGCCCATATCCAGAAGTAAATCTAGGTAAAAACTGTCGTAGTATTTACTTTCCCAAAATAGCTTCAAATATGTGAAAATGGCATACAATTCCTCCGTGCGGATACCCGATGCTAAATGGCCTACTGTTCTGCATACATTTTGCACAATTTGTGATTTCTAAATTTAAATCTGAAACACAAATGCTGGTGTTTGGCAAAAATAAAAAAATTAAATGATTTATTTTACTGGAGACGGCCTGCGTCGGCCTTATTTTGCGTTGATTTCTTACAAAAGTTGATATTGCACGAAATGTCATCTGATTAGGCAAAATTGGCCACATGGTGTGATGAAGAACACATGCGTCACAGACGTCACGCATAAGCGTGTTTTGAAAATTGGGGACACTCAGGAGTCTGGGCTGCGCTCGAGGCAGTGCTAGTGCAAGCCTCAGATGAGTGCTGGAAACGAAACTGGGAAGTGATTAGTGAATCATGAGTGAACCACCTGCGAAGCGTCCGAAGGTTTCGGCCGACGACGTAAAAAAGCTGCTGAGAGAGGACAGCGATCGAGTAAAACTTGTTCCTAGAGAGGGGGGAAGGTCCTCTGTATGGGAAAAGTTTTGTGTAGTGCAAGTCGACGGGCAAGATGCAGGGTTTGCTAGCTGTATGCAGTGTCAAACTCTGTTGTCTTTCACCACTGGAGGTGATGGATCTGGCACCATTACTCTGCGAAAGCACCTTTCCATGCATGACAAGAAGGAAAAGACGTCCGTTGGGCAACTCTCGCTTTCCGGCTATCTGAAAAAGAAGGTACCAGACGGATTGAAATCAAAGATGAAGAAGAACGTGGCTCGTGCTGTGGCGTTGGCAACGGCGTATGATATACGTCCTCTGAGCAGCTGTGAAGGTGAGGGTTTTGCTCTTCAAGCTGAGGCGTTTGTGTCAGTTGGTGCAAAGCTCGGTGCAGTTGATGTCAGAAAAGAGGGCATCCTCCCCACCCGAAACACTGTGAAAGCATATGTCAAGCAGATAGCGGAGGACCTGCGCACCAAACTATCAGTCGAGCTGAAAGGGCAGCGAAGTGTCGGAGTAACGGTGGATCATTGGACTGACCCAAATACCACCAAATCCTACACGGCTGTAACTGCGCAGTACCTCACCAGTGACTTCAATATGTGCGATCGGCTCATGGCTATGCGCATGAGTGAGGACCGTCACACCGCTGTAAACATACGTGAAGAAACCATGGCAGTGCTGGATGAGTTTGGGTACAAAAACCACGTGCACTTCACAACTGACCATGCAGCCAACATGATCTCTGCCTTCAAAGAGCACGATTGGGACGGATGTGTCTGTCATGCCATAAACTTGGCGGTGACAAAGGCCACAAAAGAAGACATAAGAGATTGTCCAATTCGCACGATCTTGGACAGCACCAAGCGGATGGTGAAGTTCGCGAAGAAAAGTGGCCTCAACAAGGCACTTTCTTCAGCTGTGAAACAGAGTGTTCCAACTCGATGGAACTCGGACCTCATCATGCTGGAGTCTGTGCTTGCCATCTATGATGAGCTGAAAGACTTCAGACACAGGCAAGAGGTGGACGATTTTCTTATGGTCGTCTCTCCGTCTGAGATCACCGACCTGACGGAAGTGTTGTCATTTTTCGGTTCCGTGAGCGCTCAGCTGGAGAGCGCAAAGACGCCCACTGGAAATCTGGTACCCGTCGTGTACCAGTTGGCGATGCGTCATCTCAGTCCTGAGGCGCAGGACAGCCGGATGAAGGCCGCCTTCAAATCTGTGCTTCTGGAGGCTGCGCAAGAGAAGGTGTCCGTGTCGCCATGGCACCTTCTCTGCGCTGCCCTCCATCCAAAGTACCGAACACTGAAACAGTTCAGCTTCCTTCAGGAGCCACAGCGGGTTGCGGTACGAAATGCCATGACGGAGGCGGCAGCGGCCGAAGCAGACGCGGTGCGGCAGCAGCCACGACGCCGACCGCAGGAGGCGGGCCCTTCGAGGGTCCTCGTCCAGCTGGAGCTGGAGGATGTCGATGACCCGCTCCCGCTGGAAGCAGTCGCAACGCCCAGCGACAGCAAGTGCCGGGCGGCACGGGAAGTGGACCGCTACATGGAGACTCACCCTGGTGCAGTGGACGACGTCCTCCAGTTCTGGCGCACCCACTCAAACGTCTACCCCATGCTGTCGAGGGTCGCACGACGGCAGCTAGGAGCGCCAGCCGCCAACACCGCTTCGGAACGAGCCAACTCGTTGGCAGGGCGCACGCTGGACGAGCGTCGCGCCCGTCTCTCGGCCGAATGTGTCGACGCTCTGCTGTTCATCAAACAGAACCGGGACCTGGTGAGCTCGAACATGGGCATGGCTACTGTAGTCGACTTGGAGTAACAAGACGGTAGAGTCGAGTCGGTTGAGACGAGAGGGATTAGATGCTGGAGTATCATTCAATTTAGTCATGAAAGTCTTTCTCAGTCTCACGAGTCTGTTTGGCGCGGCTCACTGCTTGCGCCTTTCAGCAAAGTGTATGGCGATTGACAATCGTCTTTGTGATGTGTCTGGTGCATTAGCCAAGGGTTGAAGTGCTTTTTGTTAATTTATTATCGTTCACGAAATCGAATCACATTTAACGTTTGTTTTACCTTTATTTTACCCTTCGTTCTGTCGTGTAGTGAGTGGTGAGGGTGACTGGAGAAGTGAATGGTTATCTGCAATGTTGGAGCATGGAAAGTAGTTTAGATACATAGAGAGAGGCCGTGTCATTTGTGATGCATGCATTATACAAACGTACCCAAAGAAATAAAGATCTCACGTGCTGAAAGGGTTTGTCTAACAGTCTGTGGAGGTGGACAAGAGGAAAACACTCGTAAGATGAAAAACTACATTTCGTTCTTAGCTTCATAGTAGGGCTATGTAGTGTACCGAGATTGGGGGAAAAGTTAAGACCACGGGTCCTGGGCTGACTCATGAGCCTAGCCTGACGTTAAATGCTGGTTTTGGGCGTAGTTTTTATATCTATATTGCTTCGGGCGTTGAGTATGTGCTGGTGTGGAGAGTTTGTCTTCTTACCGAACGCGCTCCAAAACTGAAAACTTCATGCAGTAGTTTAGCGTGCGTAAAGTGTCACATCTGTCACGAATGCGCCGTTTTCGTAACAATTAACAACACACCGCATGGGTTGCCGCATGGTCAGTTTTGTGGTGATCTGGTTGTGATATAACTAACTACGAAGCTGAGTGTATTATTTAATGCACTTATTTTAAAGGTTGAACTTTGAACATTGATTTCTGGTTGGCATGTTGATTTTGGTATGCCCATTCAATATTTGAAAAGGCAGGTAAGAAGTATGAACTAAGAAATCATCTCAAACTTTGTGTATCATAAATTGACAAAATCAGCCAGATCTCTGAGGTATGAGTTTATCATCAGCAAGACGCTTAAATTTCATTTTGGTCCACTGCTAATGGATTCCAATCATACTTACCAATTACCAAACATCAAAGCCTACCTGTATTATCAATATTAGATTTCCAGCCACAGCTCCCAGTAGGTATTATTGGGTCTTGTGTCTTGTTCATGTGAAATATTTGTTGAATTGTTTCTTGTTAGTTGTTAGCACTTGGTGGAAAAAGGGAAATGAAGCAAGACTGACCACTGACCAGTATGTTACCAGATAACTTGCCCTAACTGCTGGAACATCTAAACTGGAACTGGAATTAATAAAAGTTAATCAAAGATGTTTGTAAAAGCTCAATATTTTTACCAATTACAATTACCAATTTAGATTTACCATGTAACTAGTACAGGTCCATGGAAGGACCCGGTTGGACCCGGCCAAATATTTTGGGGGACCCAGTCTGGACCCATCCGGGTCCAGACCGGGTCCATAGACCGGGTCCCCGGGTCCACATTTTGCCACCTCTACTTGCCACCCCTGCCGTCTCATGACAGGGGGCGTATCTGAACGGTGGCGGCAGCGTGACCGTGAGGCGAGCCGGGACCGCGCCGTGAATAGGGGGTGGACGCCACCTCCCAGACGGTCTGGCGCTCCCGCACCGCGCCTTCCCGGCTGGGGCCGGGCTCCCGGTGCCGGGCCGCACAGCGCCGGCCGTACATGAGCTCAGTGTTTACATAAACAAGTCGATTTATATGACCTTGTTTATAGTGTGTATTATTTGTGCAGTGTTATATGATCTCTCACGTGACTATATACGATGTAGGGGTTGCCGGTAGCCGTACTCAGGTCAAACCAATTAAGGTAGTGCAATGTGTGTAAACTTTGACAAGGGGACAAGATGACCCGAAATTTTTAGTTTTACATGCACACATACGATCGACTCCGAAGTGTGTTTTTTTTTCGTAAATATTGGTGCAAAACTAAGTTGCATTTCTTTTCAGTATTGCTATGAACAGAATCAATCTCAATTAGTTAATGTCAAATCAAAGCGTCATCAAAGCTATCATCATTGCTTCAATGTTTCAATGCATTAACTCTCGCCCGTATTCGCAGGTTTTGCCAGCCCCGAACGTATATAAGGGGAGAGGGGTCCGTTCCGTTGGACCCCCCTTGCCGTTTGTCCCCTGATCGACCTACAGCTTCGCGGGAAAAAACGAGCGTGCTGCCCGTAAAAGGAGGAAGCCAATGATACCCAATTTTAAGACCCTAGGTTATTGGTTGACCTTGCAGGTCAGGTCAACAACCCAAAAGTCGGGAAAATTGGGCCCTGCTAGAACATCGTAAAAAAGGTTGCAATGCGGGTTTTTCGGGGTGCTGATAACGAATTTAATTATAGATATTGTTATTTGAGCTGGGACGGATTGCTTTGGCTCCCCTCCCCCCAACCAGGGCCTCGGCTAAGGAATTTTGACTACTGGGGCAAAAGTGTGATAGCCGGCGCCCTGCTGGGGGAGGGGGGTGTTTGAACATCCCCTCTCATTGCTGTTTTTCGCGGATATCTCAAAAACGGCGGCGTGGAGCGCCGCCGTTTTCGGCACACACCAATTCTACACATCATCAACCAATTCTACACATTTTTGTCGAAGTTATTTGCGAAAAACTAAAACCACAGCTCGGGGTCGTTGACCTGACCTCTGACCTCAGGTCACCAAACTATTTTTTCTATTTTTATCTAGGTCAAACGCTACACAACCGTGCTCGCAATTTGTCTTCATCTCTAAAACTCTATTTTTAGCAGCTATTTGAAAATCGCGTCTGTGACGCCGAAATTTGCCGTGCAGGGGTCAAGGAAAATCGACCCTGTGACGTCATCATTAGGGCTAGGCCCAAACTTTTACCTCAGAAGATGTCAAATTCATGGGATAAAAGGTACTGAAAGTTTCGCTTTCCTATCCCTAAGCGTTCGGGAGCTATCGCAAATATTCGCCAGGGGGGCGAAAACGCCCACCCCGGGCCCGCGAGGGATAAGGTCGCCTGAGAAAGTGTCCCTTAGGCCTTACGATCTGAGATTTAGCTACGTGCAAGTTGAGAAGAATCGGAAGCCTGCTTCTTCGTGCAAGTTTCATTTCTCTGCAAAAGATTACTTCGCACTGATGGCCTTCGGATTTTTTTTTTTTACCAAGCAGAGGCTTCCTTACAATGTGACCGTCATTAGAAAGGTAAATAGTATTCACATAAAGCAGGGGCGCGGGTTAACAACCAACTTCAATATTTGACCTCACTTGACCTGACCTTGACCTGACCTCGACCTGAAATTCATCCAGATGTGGTCCATATCACTTATTGAATGTGCCTATTGAATTCTATGAATAAAATGACCCATAAAACATGTGTCGCACATGCCCTTCTCTATATTTTGTTTTTGGTGACCTGACCTGACCTGACCTGACCGTGACCTTGATCTTTGAAAGATATTGTATGCAACGAATATTGTCTTGGTAGCCTAAGAACACGTTTTGGGCAATCAGTCTCAGTCCATTCTTCGGCAACTACGGTGCAAGGCCGATACTGTAGAAACTTGCATTTTGTACCCTTGACCTGACCTTGACCTGACCTCTGACCTACTTAAGCAAAAAAATTGGGCTCTGAAGATCCGCCTTGTTGAGAGCTTTCGATTGCCGTTTTCCACGTCTTTCTACGACCATCGGTTCGGAAGTTAGACAGGGGGGCAGAATCTGCCCCCCCCCCCCAGCAGGGCGCGTATGGCTGAATAGCCCAGCGGGGCGCGGGTTATCTATCGGTATGTTTGTCATTTAGCACTGCTTTAGGGCGGGGCTATTCATAGCCCCCCTCCCGTTTTTCTGCAATAACTTCCAAACCGCTTGACGTATCGACGCCAAACTTTCAGCACCTTCGGCTGCATCAATATGACACATTGTGTTAAAATATGAACTTCGTAGCTACCATAGGTCGGCCGGAAATGACGTCAGAGTGACGTCATGTTCGGCCGATTTCGACGCAAAACATGGAACCACGGCAATCGCTCCCAAGAGCTCAGTTTTTAAGCTAGATCCACTTTCTTTGCATGAGAGGACTCAAAATAGACTGCGCTAACAAACTGCTATCTAGGAATTTCGAAATTTTGAAAATTTCGAAAATTCAATATAATAAAATTCAAAATTTATATTTTTATATTTTTTCAAAAAGTTTTTGACTTTTCGAAAAAAAAAACTGAATAGATGTGATAGAACGCATTATTATGACCAACTCTAGCAAGTTTTAGCTAAATATATTCAAAAATGGCCAAGTTATACGCATTATTGCAAAAAAAAATCACAACTATTAATTTTTCAAATCAATTTTTCAGCACGTATTTGACATTGTACGCCAATATAAATAGCACCATCGTGTTCTTGAGCTCAAAATGCATCCAATAGACACCTTTTTTCTTGAAAAATTTTAACTTCAAAATTTGACCTTTTTTGACCTGAAAGTGACCTGACCTAAGCTAAATTCGACTCAAAATGATCTCGAATGACACAGACGACATCAAATTCGGAATACAGGGTGACACAAAAAAACGGTCATCACCAAATTTCGAATAACTTCGGAAGTTTTATTCAGATCATCACCAAACTTCGGCCACTTAAGGTCACACCTATGTAGCATACATCCACCAAGTTTCAAGTCTTCACTACGAATACTTTTAGTACAGTGTGTGTTTTACTGACGCTCCACAATGTGCTCCAGGTGAGCGCCACGGCGCTGCAGGGCGTAGGCACACTTGCATCCGGCGGGCCAAGTTGTCGATAACCCGATGGCTGTGCACTTTACAGAGTGCAATGGCCTCTGGAGACAGTGCTCAGGGGGTGTGCTACCCCTGAAACGTTATTCTTATCGGGTTATCGGCAACTTTGCCCGCCGGATGCAGGTGTGCCTACGCCCTGCAGCGCCGGGGCGCTCACCTTTAGTTTAACGGCGCTCACCTTTAGTC